AACCCCACCTGGGAGACACACAGTGATCATTCTGCACCAGCAACCCCAGCTGGGAGACACACAGTGGTCATTCTGCACCAGTAACCCCACCTGGGAGACACACAGTGGTCATTCGGCACCAGTAACCCCACCTGGGAGACACACAGTGGTCATTCTGCACCAGCAGCCCCACCTGGGAGACACACAGTGATCATTCTGCACCAGCAGAATTCTGTTTGTTTAACAGGTGGAGGTCAAATTCTTCTGCTTTCCTGTTTTAAATGGAAACTGACAAGTGGGGATCGAGGGGAGAAGCTGGGGGTGCTCCTCCCCTTCCTCTATCACTCAGTTTCCTCTGTGCTATTTAAACCACGCACTTGTCTGAAGTTTCCTTTCCTCCCTCCTCCTCCTCTTCTGTCGTGTTGCCTTGGCACGCAGGTTCCCTCTGGGGAGTCTGTGAAGCTCACTGAAGAAATAAAGTGATGCTTTTGTATGGATTTTGCTAGATTGAATAGAAGAATTAGAAAGGATTTTAACATTTTTTGCCTTTTCCAGGTGTTTCAAATCTTGTGAAAGTGAAATATAGAGATAAAATGAAGTTCGTGAAGCTGCAGAAAGATGCTGATGGCTTTTCCTACCAAAGTTTCATTTCTGATGGTGAGATATTTATGTTTTAAATCATCTTGTTTCAGAGAAAGCAGTGGGAAGAAACTGAAGATTTTCAGTTCTCTTCAGTATATTAAAGAGGGGGTGCAGTGGTACAGCAGTTAGCATTGCTGCCACGCAGTGCCGGGGCCCTGGGTTCAGTTCCTGGGGGCTGTCTGTGTGGAGTCTGCATGTTCTCCCCGTGTTCATGTGAGCTTCCTCTGCATGCTCTGGTTTCCTCCCACAGTCCAGAGACATGCTGGTTCTGCTGTGAGTGTGTGTCTGTGTGTGCCCTGTGATGGACTTGTGTCCTGTCCAGGGTGTGTGTCTGTGTGTGTCCTATGATGTCCTGTCCAGGGTGTTTGCGTCTTGTGATGGACTGGTGTCCTGTCTGGGGTGTGTGTGTCTGTGTGTGTCCTGTGATGGACTGGCATCCTGTCCAGGGTGTGTAAGTGTGTGTGTCTGTGTGTATCTTGTGATGGACTGGCGTCCTGTCCAGGGTGTGTGTGTGTCTTTGTGTGTCCTGTGATGGGCTGGCGTCTTGTCCAGGTGTACCCTGCCTTGTGCCTTTTGCTTGGTGAGGTGGACCGTGGCTCCCCAGTAACCCTGTACTGGTAGGAAAATGGAAGGATGTATATATATTTGTACTCATTATGTATGAAATTAACATGCCTTTCTGTCACTGCTCTCTCTTCTACAGTCCTACAGAAATTCTCCTTGGCTCCAGGCACTCAGGTGGAGGTGACAGATGACACAGGGACAGAAGTCGATGAGGACGTCTTCTCTGACCTGCTGACTGACAACCCACAGCTGGTACTGGTCGTTTGTGAAAAGACGTCAGCTGGTGAGGGATATTTTCAGACCGAATTCAGCAGACCAGTCTGTCTTAATAGTTCTGATTGGTGTCAGCTGTGCTCTCATCTGTCAAACCCTTGTCCCTGTTCAGATGACAATCTGCCCAGTCAAGATTACAAGAATAATCTTTCTGCTGACGACTCCAAGGATCATCTCTACAGGAAACAATGGGGTCCGGAGCCGAAGGTAAGAGCACAACTGGACAAGCAGCTAAGAGAGTGATAATTCAAAATATCTGTTGTGAGTTTTCCTACACCATTTCTTTGTGTACTGTAATGTTTCATATGGATATTTGATCTGCTCACTTTGTTCACAATGCTATTAATCCAACACTGGGGAAGGAGATCAGTGCTGCACCAGCCCTTTGAGACAGCAGTGTGGTGCGACACTGAAAAGATTCCCCACTGCTTCCATTTCCTGAGACTGCAGTGGACAGAAGCTGGATGACAAGATCCAAGAATATGTCGGGTAAAGGGACATACACTGCAGCCTGTCTTGTAGCATGGAGACGATAATTAGAGGCTTATTAAATTATTGAGAGGGTTTTATAAAGGAGATTGCTGATAAGGGTAGGCAATCCAGTTAGAGGCTCAGATAGAAGATTTGGCTTAAAGAAAAATAAAAAAAATTAAATCTTAAAGATTCTGCTTAAAAAAACACAAAGAAATGGAACGCTCAGGCTTAAGATTCAAAAGGTAACATACAGTAAGGGCAGTTAACGATGTGCTAAACGTTACTGCTCAGTCGGTTTCAGATTCGCGACAGGAAGATCCCAGGTTCAGCAGCTACACACAAGTGGTCTGCAGTTTGTAGAAACTGTACTACAAGGGCAGCCTGAGTCCTCAGCCATGAGCTCCTCGCTCAGCAGGGACAGATGCTTCCCTTGAACATCAGTCTGGGATTGAGGTGCTGAAGGAAGGGCAGCAGATGAACTGAGAGATCAGAGAGCAAATACAGTCATCTCCCCACATACGAACCTCCAGTTTACAAATTCAGTAAATATATTCTGTGCCCAATTTTCTTGTGCAGATTCATTTTTACTGAACTCAATAAGTAC